ACAGCCCAGAACACCCACTACTGTCCCGTACACCCCTACAGCCCAGAACACCCACTACTGTCCCGTACACCCCTACAGCCCAGAACACCCACTACCGCCCCATATACGTGCTATAGCCCCCAGAATACGCGCTACACCCATACACCAGCTACAGCCCAGAACACCCACTACCGCCCTGTATACCCCCTACAGCCCAGAACATCCACTACTGCCCCTTACACCCCGTACAGCCTAGAATACCCACTACCGCCCCATATACCAGCTACAGCCCAGAACACCCACTACCGCCCCATATATCAGCCCAGAACACCCCCTACCCCCCGTATATCAGCCCAGAACACCCCCTACCCCCCGTATATCAGCCCAGAACACCCCCTACCCCCCGTATATCAGCCCAGAACACCCACTACCCCCCGTATGCCCCCTAAAGTCCAGTAGCTCCCCTAAGGGCAGCCTCTCAGCCACACCCACTGAGGGCTTGTGCTCAGTTCAAGTCCTTGCTCCTTTGCTCACAGCGGAGTGACTTTGACTGGTTTGCTAAAGGCCAGTCACCGAGGGCCCAGCAAGCGGCCGGGCTGCTTGTCCTGCCTGCAAATCCTGGGCGTGTCCCTGAGAGGGGACACCATGGTCTTTCCCAGCATCCTCCCTCCCGCCCGGGGTCGCTGCACGGGGTCTGGCCGGCGCTGTGAGGACTGTCTGGCACTCTCTCACCACTGGCACTGGGAAAGCACCTCTGAGCAGGTTTTCCAGAATCCTGGCTCCATTTCGCGTCCTGCCCCTCCTCCCCCCCACGGCGGCTGGGGGAGGGTGGGGCTTGAGCTGGAAGGGGCAGTGGTTGCTTCCACTGCCTCTCTGGAAGGATTGCACATGAATCCCAGCTTGCAGCCCAGGCGAGAAGCGCCATCCCAGCACCACGGTGACTCCGTCTTCCCTGATCCCCGCCCTGGCTTCCCAGAGGCACACCAGGCTTTATCGGTGCCTTGGAATCTGAAAAATTAAATTAAAAAGTCATTATGTCCAGAGGACGGCGAACAAGAGAATCACGGCCAGACTTAGCGGCTAAGGCCCTTCCTGGAGAGCGCTATTCCACCTGCACGAATTAAAGTCGACGCTGTACGAGGTATACCCAGGAGCCTGCAGGACGCACAGCCCGCGTGGGCGCCGGCCAGAGGCAGAGCAGAGGCTTGGCCAGGCCGGCGATGGGCTTCCCGGCCACGAGGAGCCGGCCCGGCCACAAAGAGTCTGTCAAGGGGCATGGCGGGCATGTCAGGTGTGGATGCGGCTCTCTGGGGCTGGGGGAGGGGGACCTCAATTCTACCAGTGCCTTCACCAACAGGCCCTGGTCACCTGACCCTGGCGGCTATACAGGAGCGTCAGAAAGCATGTTTCTGGAAAATGAAGGACTCAAAAGCTACTGGACAGCCATGATGCCTCACCAGGGTCCACTACACTGACCGCAGCAGCTTGGCCAAAAAGAGAACGTGTCATATCAGAAGCTGACAAGTCCCAGAAAATCTGACTTCCGGCCCAGCTGAACCCAGGCCCCAGCAGCGTCCCTGAACTCAGGAGCTCAGCAGGCTGAGTTCTCAGGTTGCCAGCAGCCCTCGCCACCGACCCATCCCACACCTTCAGACCCCGGCGCTGACCAGGCCGGCCCGAGGCAGGGGCCCCACGCCTGAGCTCTGGTGACCACTTCTGGGGCAGTTCTCAAGAAGGGTCTAGAACAGGGTCTGCAGCTATTTTCTGTGAAGGGCCAGATGGTGACCATACTGTCTCTGTCACGACGACCCAGCTCCACACCACAGCAGATGGCATGTAAATCGTGGGCTTGGGTGTATGCCAATAAAACTTTATTTACAATAATAGCATGCAAGCTGGGTTCAGCCTTATGATTTGCCAGCCTCTGTGCTAGACCAAGCCAGCCACACCCCAGAATAAATTTGGGGTGATGTAGCTTCAAAACCAGAGGCGCTGGTAGCTCATGCCTATAATCCCAGCTACTCTGTAGGCTGAGATCTGAGGATCACAATTCAAAGCCAGCCCAGGCAGCAAAGTCTGTGAGACTCTTATCTCCAATAAACTACTCAGAAAAAGCCAGAAGTGGCACTGTGGCTCAAGGCACTGTGCCAACCTTGAGCAACAAAAGAACCCGGGAACAGCACCCAGGCCAAGAGTCCAAGCCCCAGGACTGGCAAAAACATAAAACCAGAGGTGGGATGGCTCTAGACGCCCTTCCACAGGGAGCCGCCCTGCCTGTGCACCTCTGTGGCTGGCCCCACCAAGCCTGAGGCCGACCAGGACAGAGGCTGCAGCACGCCTGTCACGCACGCGTCCTCTTCTGCCCAGGTGGAAAGGCTCAGAGGAGATGGCAAAGGAGGCGTGACTTGTATGTGTGTGCACCGATGTGAGCACGTGTCTCTGCCCGTGTGGACACATGTGTGGCGAAGCTCACCTTGTCCTCCCTCAGCACCGTGGATGCTGTGGAATGAGCCCAGCCCGAGCCTGCTGCCTCCGGGTGCGGCAGGGCCTCGCCTCCCCGGCCTCCCAGCCTCCCGGCCTCCCCGGCCTCTCCCGCCCCACAGGGTTGTCACCCTCTGTGTTCTTACATTTTGCAGTTTTCCGGAGAAGTCCCGGAAAACCGGGTGGAGACGGTGGTGGCCAACCTCACCGTGATGGACCGAGACCAGCCCCACTCACCCAACTGGAACGCGGTGTACCGCATCATCAGCGGGGACCCCTCAGGACACTTCAGCGTGCGCACCGACCCCGTCACCAACGAGGGCCTGGTCACCGTGGTGAAGGTGGGTGAGCTGGAGCCAGGTACACAGACCGGGGCACGGGGCGTGCACACGGCGCACACGGCGCGCACGTAATATGCCGGCGAGGCTCATGTGGAGCTGCGGTGTTTGGAGACCGCGCCCCGCTGACCGCCCTGGCCCGGTGTCGGGGGCGATGCGGGCATGCGGCAGCTGCAGCAGGATCGAAGCCTGCTTGCGAGCACCGTGGGGCTGGGACGGCTCCACCTGCCTGGTTGCAAGGCTGTCCCATGCAGACGTCCGCGGCCATCCTGCGTCCACGGTCGCACGTCTCTGTCCCCCACATTCCCCACCCCGCGCTCTGCCCTTCTTCAGCCCCCTGGAGAGGTGCTACCCAGCTTCCCCGGGCCACGCCCCTGGCACCTCCTCTGTGGAGCTGCAGTCCTGGCAGTTCTCAGAAGCAAGGAGGGGTGCAGGCCGGCCAGGCTGAAGCCCATAATCCTAGCTATTTGGGAGGTGGAGATCGGAGGACTGCAGTTCAAGGCTGTGCCGGCCTCCAGGTTTGTGAGTTTGCATCTCAGGCAAAGGGCCCAGTAGCAGGGGTTTGTGCTCCCAAGCTGTGAGGGAAGCACAGAGCCGTTGCCACAGCCACTCCTGGCGCCCCAGCAGCACAGCGAAGCGCAAACAGGAGGACTGAAGTCCAGGCTGTCTTGGGGCGCTGCGGGCGGTGGAACACCACGCAAGTGCGAGGCCCCGAGTTCAAACGCGAGCACTAGGCCGGAGGGGACGAGCGTCTCACCAGCCTGCGGTGCCCTGACCTTCCCTAGTCCTCCACTGGCCCCCCAAAGCCCTGGGAATGAGATGCACCCTCTGACTGCAGGAGGCCCCTGGTGGCAGCAGATCAGCCGGTCACATGCTGGATCACCAGAGGAGTGGGCAGAAGTGCCTTGCCCAGCGTGGGCAGTTGTGTGTGGCCATGGGCCATGTGGACAGGGTCCTGTGTGACCATGGACCATGTGGGCAGGGTCCTGTGTGGCCATGGACCATGTGGACAGTGTCCTGTGCGGCCATGGGCCGTATGTAGGCCAGGTCGTGTGTGGACCGGGTGTGTGTTGGCAGGGCTGTGTAGACAGGACTGTGTGTGGACAGGTCGTGTGTAGACAGGGCCGTGTGTGGACAGACCATGTGTGGACAGACCGTGTGTGGACAGGGTCGTGTGTGGACAGACCGTGTGTGGACAGATCGTGTGTGGACAGATCGTGTGTGGACAGGGTCGTGTGTGGACAGACCGTGTGTGGACAGACCGTGTGTGGACAGACCGTGTGTGGACAGACCGTGTGTGGACAGGGTTGTGTGTGGACAGTGTGTGGACAGATCGTGTGTGGACAGATCATGTGTGGACAGGGTCGTGTGTGGACTGGGCCATGTGTGGACTGGGCCATGTGTGGACAGACCGTGTGTGGACAGACCGTGTGTGGACTGGGCCATGTGTGAACAGGGTCGTGTGTGGACAGACCGTGTGTGGACAGGGCCGTGTGTGGACAGACCGTGTGTGGACAGACCGTGTGTGGACAGACAGTGTGTGGACAGACTGTGTGTGGACAGACTGTGTGTGGGTGGACAGACCATGTGTGGACAGGGCTGTGTGTGGACAGGGTCGTGTGTGGACAGACCGTGTGTGGACAGACAGTGTGTGGACAGACCGTGTGTGGACAGGGCCGTGTGTGGACAGACCGTGTGTGGACAGACCGTGTGTGGACAGACCGTGTGTGGACAGATCATGTGTGGACAGGGCCGTGTGTGGAATGGGCCATGTGTGGACAGGGTCGTGTGTGGACAGGGTTGTGTGTGGACAGGGTCGTGTGTGGACAGGGTCGTGTGTGGACAGGGTCATATGTGGACAGGGTTGTGTGTGGACAGGGTCGTGTGTGGACAGACCGTGTGTGGACAGGGTTGTGTGTAGACAGAGTCATATGTGGACAGGGTTGTGTGTGGACAGGGTCGTGTGTGGACAGACCATGTGTGGACAGGGTTGTGTGTGGACAGACCGTGTGTGGACAGATCGTGTGTGGACAGACCGTGTGTGGACAGGGTTGTGTGTGGACAGGGTCGTGTGTGGACAGGGTTGTGTGTGGACAGACCGTGTGTGGACAGACCGTGTGTGGACAGGGTTGTGTGTGGACAGACCGTGTGTGGACAGGGTCGTGTGTGGACAGACCGTGTGTGGACAGACCGTGTGTGGACAGACAGTGTGTGGACAGACTGTGTGTGGACAGACTGTGTGTGGGTGGACAGACCATGTGTGGACAGGGCTGTGTGTGGACAGGGTCGTGTGTGGACAGACAGTGTGTGGACAGACTGTGTGTGGACAGACTGTGTGTGGGTGGACAGACCATGTGTGGACAGGGCTGTGTGTGGACAGGGTCGTGTGTGGACAGACAGTGTGTGGACAGACTGTGTGTGGACAGACTGTGTGTGGGTGGACAGACCGTGTGTGGACAGGGCCGTGTGTGGACAGACCGTGTGTGGACAGGGTTGTGTGGACAGACCGTGTGTGGACAGGGTTGTGTGTGGACAGGGTCCTGTGTGGACAGACCGTGTGTGGACAGGGTTGTGTGGACAGACCATGTGTGGACAGGGTTGTGTGGACAGACCATGTGTGGACAGGGTTGTGTGTGGACAGGGTCCTGTGTGGACAGACCGTGTGTGGACAGGGTTGTGTGGACAGACCATGTGTGGACAGGGTTGTGTGTGGACAGGGTCCTGTGTGGACAGACCGTGTGTGGCCATGGGGCCCAGACACCGCTTGCACACCGTGCGGGTCAGCTTGCAGAGGGCAGACAGGACATGAGCCTCCCTTCCCCTGGAATGGTTTGGGGGCCACCCCCCCAGAGGGTGCCCACCTCTGAGCCGAGGGTCCCACCGAGGGGGAGCAGGCCAGACACTGCCACAGGTCCAGCGGCCTCCCTGAAATGGTTGCCGCAGATTACCTACTGACCCCTCCCTGGGCATGGGGTTTTATTTCGCCTCCTGCCGGCTCTTATTGGTCGTAACAGTCTTTCTGCCAGGCTGCTCGCCGGGGCCGGTGGCACACTTCTTAGCACAGAACACGCAGCATTCTCCGTGTCCCCCAGGGACACAGGACAGCTCGGCTCCTTGGGGCGCTGCCGGGCCCTCGGGAAGTGGGGGTGGCCGAGCTGTGGGCCTGGCCCCGGTATGGGGGTCTTGGGCGGAGTGGGGGTAGAGGTGTGTGCAGGCTTTAGTATCTGTTTCGTTCCTATCCATGTGGGGCTGTCACAGTGTGGTCTGGGCCGGTCCTGGGCGCTGGCAGGCATGGGGTCCAGGGCTGAAGGGATAAATTGCAGTCAGGGATAGGGGGCTAAGCCCCCATGCAACCTCTGGGGAGGGGCCAGACTTGCAGCCAGAGTCCCCCGGGAGCCCCGAGCAGCACCAGTACTTATGGGCTTGGGACAGGGGCGGGGGGAACAGGAGAGGTCAGCTGACCTGCAGTGCACCATGCTGCTCAGAGGGCAGAGGTGCCCAGCCCCTCCCAGAACTGCGGCCTGAGAACACCCGAGGTTCAGGGAGGTCCGTGAGCTCACCCCTCCCTCAGCGGGCAGGAGAGCAGGCCTGGGGAGAGCAGTCACGGCAGTCCCCAGGGGCGGTCGGGGCTCCCTCCAGACCCTCCTGAGGCCCCGTCGGCCTCCTCCCCTGCCCTTCAGCCTCTCACCTTGTCCTTCCATGCTCTCCCCTCACAGCCGGGGGTGTGGGGCACCAGCCTGGCCACGTGGCTGCTCCTGAGAAAACCCACGCAGGGGCGGGGGTGCCCAGGGACAGCCCAGGCTCCCACCGACCTTCCTGCGGTCTTCCATCCTCCCTCCCAGCCCCCCTCCCTTCTTCCCACCTTCCCAGGAACGCGCTACCTGCACTTGCCGTTCCTCAGCCTCCGTGGGCGCTGGGCCCAGCCCCAGCCGGCGCGTCACGAGCGCCGTGAGGAGCGAGCAACATTCCCGCTGCCACCAGAGGGGCCCGGTGATGGCAACGCCCCGAAGCAGCATCACACGGAGAGACAGCGTGCGTGCGTGTGTGCGTAACTGTGTGTGTGAGGGTGTGCATGTGTGCACATGTGTGTATGTGTGTGGGGTGAGCATTGTGTGTACATACATATATGTGTGGCTGAGCATGTGTATGTGTATACATGTATGTGTGTATTGGAGTGTGATTGTGTATGAGCATGTGTATGTGTGCATGTGTGAGTATGTGAGAGCATGTGTGCTGTGCATGATACGTGTAAGAGCATTGTATGTGTGTACATGTGAGAATACATGTGTATGTATGTGTTTGGCGGTGAGCGTGTGTGTGACTGAGCATGTGTATGTGTGCACATGTGTGTGAGAGCATTGTGTATGTGGGGGTGACTATATGAGCATATGTATGTGTGCATGTGTGAGTGTGTGAGAGTATGTGTGTGCTGTGCATGATACGTGTAAGAGCATGTTTATGGGTGTGTTTGGTGGTGAACATGTGTGTGACTGTATGAGCATGTGCATGTGTGCACATGTGTGTGAGAGCATGTGTGTATGTGGGGTATGTGACTATCTGTATGAGCATATATGTGTGTGCACGTGTGCATTTAGGGGTGTGTTTGTGACTGTGTATGAGCATGTGTGTATGCACATGTGTGTGAGAGCATGTGTGTTTGGGGTCAGCATTATGTGACTGTGTATGAGCATGTGTGTGTGCATGTGTGAGTGTGAGAGCAAGTGTGTTTGGGGGTTAAGCGTATGACTGTATGTTTATGGGAATGTGCATGTGTGCACGTGTTGTGTGTGAGAGCATGTATGTGTGCTTGGGGTGAGCATGTGTGTGTTTGGGGGTGAGCATGTGTGTGTGCATGTGTGTGTGTGCATGTGACTATGTATATGAGCATGTGTGTGAGTGTACGTGTGTGTGCTTGAGGGTGGGATGAGCGTATGTGTGCATGTGTGTGACTATGTGTATGAGCATGAGTATGCGTACACGTGTATCAACGTGCGTGTGTGTTTGGGGGTGAGCATGTTTGTGTCTCTATCTCTGTCTGTCTGTCTCTCTCTCTCTCTCTTATGAAGCCACCAGGGTTCTTTCTTGTGGCCCTGCTCTAAAGCCCTTTCTAACTTGAGCCCCTCCAGAGCCCCCGCCCGGCCTCACAGTGGGGCTCAGGGTCCCCCCGAGTTCCAGGGATCCAGCTGTCTGCGTGTCGCCTCCTCCCTGGGTCCCTGACCTCAAACATTCCTCCACCTTCCTGTTTTTGCTGCATGCGTGCGTGCGTGCGTGCGTGTGTAGTACAGGGAGGTGAGAGCAACATTTCCAGGCGTGTAAACAGTGTCTGGATCTGCTTTGCAGCGCCCCTCCCCCCCCAACCCATTTCAGGGCTCACAGCGGCTTCGCCATGCCCGCCCTTGCTCCCCTTTTTTTGGAGTGTATGAATCGCACCAAGGGGTTTTGTGGTGGTGACTCAGGCGCGTGTATATTCTGTTCTCTCAGAGTACCCCCCCACAGCTTTCCCTCCCCC